TAATTAGTTTTTTTTATTTCCTCTTGAGATCTGGGTTTTAAATAATGGTTTGAAGAAGAGATTTTTAATTCGAAATACAATAGCTCACAAAAAATTTCCTACACTTACGATTTTCAATGAAATAGGGCTCTATTCTATAATTAAAATGAATATCTCAGAATGGGAATTTAATAATAAGATCCATTAACTTTTCTTGGCGAAATAGAATGAAATATTTTAAAAAATAGTAAAAGTTTGTTTTTAAGAAATATATAATCAAAAAGTGACAAAATCTTTATCTCACAAAATTCCTCATACATTGAAATATTTTCCGATTAAATCATAAAAAAATTATTATCACGTGGTTTATTTTGAATTTATTTACTTATTTCTCATTGATTTTAATTGTTTATTCACTTGTAATTTGCATTTACTAACCTCATTTAATTTTTACTCGCTTACTCCGTAAGTATTCTTTTTACATAAAAATGACTCGTAGTCTCAATAAAACAATAAACAGCTTTCGAAAATTGAATATTTTTCATCATATCAGTTGTAAATCAGTGCAGAATATCTGTATATTAATAAAATTATCCCACTCTACCGAACAGTATGTCATAAAATTCCAATATTCAGAAATTCAGATTAGTATCATCAGAAAATATAATCATTAAACTCTGTGAAAAATTCAGAAATTCAAGTTTGAGTACTTTTCAGTTGAAAAGGAAAAAAATATCTACTACTTCAATTTCATCTGAAACTCAACGACGAGTTTTCAGAGCAGCTGAATTAAATGGGCGCTTAATCAGTAGAAAGTTTTTCTGTTTGTATTAAGCAAAACAGAAAGCTTAAACTTTACTTTGCAAAATCAATGATAAATAAACCCAAACATAATTGAATAGGTTCGAATCCTAACGGTGGATGGTTGATGCGAATTCTGCTCCTGGCTAGCACCGACCACAGTGCATTCTCAGTGGTAGATGGATCATGGGTTCCCCTTGCCGTTGGGTTATCTGTGAAAGGATTTCATATTTTTCCACTTTAAGTAAAGCAAACGCGGGTTAGTTCCCTCAAAAAATCCTCTACGAAAGCTAGATTGTCCCTTTGCTTCATCCAGGAGCTCCCTAGTCTTCTGGGGAAATAACTGTGTTTAATACAGGGTGACACAAAAGAACGGAAACTTCATAACAATCCAATAAAACCAATTGTGAGGGAATTGACACATTTTATTCATAATAACTGAAACCTTAAAATTAGCCATATTAGAAGCATTAATGGAAATTTATCATTCTTTTAAAAACTACGTCCATTAAATACCGTCCTTCTGTGCGAATGTATTATTGAAATCTGCTGTTGAGATTCCTCATTGTAAGATATATACGAGATATATACAAGTGGTAAGATAAATAAGAGATGCAGATTCCCATACTTTTGCATTAGCATGCTCACATTATTACTGCGCATCCTAACACAAAAATCTAGGAATTCGCCATTTATATGCCTCTTCCTTATCACTTGCCTCAGCAGTGTTTGACTAAGTTACCAAAATATCTTTTGTGAGCGTGTGTGCCAAAGAATATTTAGATGGTTGACTGCAGTCCATAAATTATAATTTCAAATTAATATTATTATTATTTATTTACAAAGAAATTACAAGCTGATTTTCTTTTTAATGACAAGCGGCTAAGTCTGGCAGTGAACTGATCATTAAGACGCGTTTCCCAGCAGATCACCGAAGTCAAGCATCACTGGCTGCGGTCAGTGTACGGGTGGGTGACCACTTGGATCAGTCTGCGTAGGGACAGAGGGTGTGCGGTATTGATCCTTGCTGAACTGTTCTACCGTAAAATGCTCGACTTCGCGTACAGGTCGTTGGGCTACTGAAGCTGGGGTACCATCCCCTCTGCAGAGGATCAAAATTGTGATTGTCTCAAAATTGTGCATGTCTTCGGATCATCCTCAGGGATGCTTCCCAGACCATCGCTAATAGCCCATTGTGCAGCTCTAGTGCGACGTAAATGTTCAACAACGACAAGCGGGTAACGTAATTCACTAATTTGCTCATTCAGTGTAACGAGCCTTTTTGTTTTCGTTGGTTTATGCAAATTATTGTACATCTTAAACTGCCACCAATATATAATTTTAGAATCCTTCTCAAAAATAAGGCAAAAAAAAGTAAATCCATGACTTTAAGATTTGAGATTTCACTAATTTTTCTTTCCAGTAATAGCTGAACTAGAGTAAAAAATTTTAAAATTAAAAATTAAAAATATATACATAATGCTTAAATCAGAACTTGGGCACATTGACATTTCTCAATCTGACCTCTTATATATCTGTTTAAATCCTTTATAAAAAGTGGTGGGCAAATTTTTTTAAATTCGAATTTCTTAAAATATTAATGCATAACTTTTTCAACCCATAGAAAAAAGAATTTCCGAAACCGTGGAAATTCGACAGTTGACGTAGGAACTTGAATTGCAATTAGGATCGCAAATTATAAATGTTTATAGTAACCAAAAATTAAAGACATTAAAGGAGTTTAAAAAAAAAAATTGTATATGAAATTGAAATGGTAAAATTATAAGGTTTAAATTTTATCCCAATGGAATTTGGAGCTAAATCTGCATTAGGGCAATAAAAAATTCAAGAAGCTCTTATTTCAAATTTTTTTTTTATCGTGATAAGAGAATCTGTTTATAGCAAAAGGTATAAGAATAGCAATAAGTATAAGTTGCTTAGAATAAGTTGCAATAGAATAAGTTGCAATATAATAAGTTGCTTAGCAATCATTAGGGTTGATAAGCATTATTTATTACCCGTGTTTAAAGAAAGGTTTGTTAACCACAACTCTACAGTTTATCCCTTGCCTGTAGCGCAAATGCGCCATTTTCGGAATGCTCGACATGAATTCAGGCAAGAGAAAAATCGGTGCTTCAATTCCGTAGTGCCCGAACTCAATTCGTTCAATGTAATTATCTATTTTCCCAATTGATGGCGATACTTGATTTTAAGTTTTCTCTCAAAAAGTTCCGCAGTTCACGCCCTTTATTAGATTTATGAAATTTTGCAATTCAAAGGAAACTGCAGGACAGAGAATTCATCACAGTTGATAAAAATAATAATATTGTTGTATTAGTTTATTATATTTACCATGAAAATTCTGTCATTTGATCAATTTTGCTACAATTTGAGATTACTTTTATCCATTAAAATTTCATATAAATGTGAAAATATTAAATATAGTTGTGATTTCGTTTAGTTATTATTATTAGTTTTTTTTTTAAATAATCCATTTCTAGCATTTTGGTGATAATAACAAACAAAATTAAAGAGAAATATTTTATTCATTTTTGACACGTTTTTCTCAAATATATTCCATAGGCAAGTCGTTAATTGTATCTAGCTATTTTTCAATTAAAAAGAAACAAAATTCCTTTAATAAACAATCCTTTTCGAAACAAAGTAATCTCATGAATGGTATTACCATATTACTCAACGTTTTGTGATAAAAAAAAAATTTAGAATGGTATACACCGCTTTACAATTATTAAACAGTAACTAAGTCTTATTTGCTTCAATTGCTCTATGTAGATTTGTACCCAGTTAACATATGTAATTAAAAAAAATTATTAAGAATAAACTTTTCGCACATTTACCAAATAAAAGTTTTAGTGAAAAACATTTAACGATTGTTCATAGTAAACAAAAATTAAAAAGTAATTTTAAAAACATTATTGTAGATAATTTTGCAATGATAAAATTAGTAGATTTAAATGTTTTCTCAGATTGATTTGGAAGTAAATCTGTGGAAGTAAATCTGTAGGGATCTTTGAAATGTAATTAAAAATTGAATTATTGAATAGATGAGAAACAATTCATTCTCGAAGTTAGAGTAATTTCTTTTATCATCGTTCCCCTCAATTTTGCATAGTTACATTGTTAGTATCCTTTATTAATAAATAGATGCATTAGAATTAGATAAAAAAAATCAACTAAAAATATTTATATCTAAAAAGTATCGTAATTTTTATACTATTATTTATTAACTAGTGCATTTGCTCCTTTTTTTTCTTTATTTCGGTGTTAGTGATTTATCGATTCAAATCCTACAATATGGGAATTCAAATTACAAAAGCTTCTAAAAACATTTTTTTTCCTTATTATTTAATTGCCAGTATTCATTTTAAAGGCACTACGAAATGATAATAAAAAAACATGTGAAGAAACAAAATAACTTTTTGAAAAAACAAATCGAGGGTTAAAGAATAAAATGAATGCTTGTAATTAATAAATATTTGCATCAATGGACATTGTTAACATTATTAAAATAAAATACAATCAAAAAAATGTAATGAAATATTGTGAAAGAATAATTTTACTTTCATAAATAGTAAGGAAAAGAAAAAGAAGAATCATATAGATCTAAAAGAGCCTGCTCATTGAAAACACATTCGAATGTGTTTTCAAGGATCGTTTGTAAAGTGCAATTAGCTAAACCGCACGGTTTAGCTCATTTAAATTTGACACCCCATGCATAAACAAAACTTTTTTTTTAAAAAAAATATTAAATAAAATGAATAAATAAAAGTTGAATAAGCCAAATTTAGTAAGCATTTCAACGATTAAGTGATAACGATGAAAAAATTAGCCAATTAACAATGATGAAAAAATTAGACAATAGAATTTAGCTATTTAATATTAGCCACGGCTGCTAAGCATTATCCTTACATTATTAACTAATCCCGAGAAACTTTTTAAAAAAAATTGAAAAAATAGTTTTAATTATTTACTTAATTGTTTATTATTTAATTTAAAGCGAATGAAGCGAATCAAGCAACCTCCTAATAATTTTCTGATTGTTGTTGTTTATTTACGTCACACTAGAGCTACACAATGGGCTATTGGCGACGGTCTGGGAAACATCCCTGAGGATGATCTGAAGACATACCATCAAAATTCATCAAAATCAAAATTCTCTGCAGAGGGGATGGCACTTAGGCTTCGGTAGCCTGACGACCTGCATGCGAAAATAATTTTCTGAGGAAGTGAAACTTGCGTCGTGAAGTGAAGTAATTTTATTTATACTTTCAAAACATTCCCGGCAAGAATCTCAACATATAAATAAAAACAACAATTTTAGTAAGGTGCATTTTTTTTTTATTCCATGACTGTTTGTTTACTTTGAAACACTGAATAAAAAACAATGACTAATTCCTACGCAGAAACTATGCGCAATTATTTTGCATCGAACAGCCGTATCAAGGAATATCAAGCTCATTCCAGCAAAGTTCATTCAATTAATTGGAGTTGTGATGGTCGTCGATTAGCATCTGGTAGTTATGATAGAACTGTTTCTCTTTTCACTCTTGAGAGAGATCGGTTGGTATGTGTGTTACAGTATATTAATTTACTTTCTTTTCCAAATTTCGTTTCTTAATATGTTGGTAGGTAATTCATGATCAATGCTGTCTTCGTCATTTATAACTATTGCTAGTTATTCGCAGAAAGGATCAAAAGAAAACGAAACAAGATAATATAAGAAAAAAATATATATATAAATCAAGACTCGGATGAACTGCCAGAGTAATTTTTGGTAGTACAATTGTATGTTCTATAAAAGGATACATCAGCCGTAATTGAGCTGTTTAATCTAAAGAACTGATTCAAATTCATTGCAAATTGCCAAAATTGTGTCAGAAAAAAAGAACAAAATGTTCTCACCGATATCATTTTGTATATTATATTAAAACCTATTATATTTGAAAAGTCGCCAAATAGCAGTAAAGGTGTGAAAATATGTGTAAAAAGAAGCAGAAAACATTCGCTGGACAATAAGCTATCATGTTAAATCGAGGCAATTAACATTTGTCCTATTTTTTAATGAGCCAATTTCAATTACTTTAGAAAGTATGAATCCATGCACTATAGATATGAAAGACATAAATTATGCACACAAAAAAATAACATAAATTTTGTTGCTTAGGAATGTTGCTCATCTACAGCTCATAGGCAAAAGATTATAATTATACTGCTAATAATTTTTACTTTAACGGCAATTTTTTTTTTATCTTAGTACTTAAATAACTGTACAACTAATGTTTCATTTATTTTAGAGGCCATGACCCTTCCTTGTCGATTGCCAAACCTTTAACATGTTTTCTCCATATTGCTTTGTAATCTGGGCTTGTTTTGTTCATACATTTTACGTGTCTAGCCCTAGTGCAGATATGCACGATAAGATATAATGCACACACCTCAAAGACTAGAAAATACAATGTTGGGACCAACTTTAATTAACACCAAACTACAATTGAAATAATGCAATGTGTGTTTAAAATGTAATTTGAAAGTAACATGACTTATATGCATCATTTTTATTTCGGTAGAAATGCTTAAAATTAAATTAAACAGTGAAAAATATTTAATATAAATAAATTTAAACGTCAAATCTTTTTAAGAAAATTATCATGAGAAATTTATAGATTCATAGAAAAGTAGCGAAAACATATACCCTATTGCTTCAGAAGTTATCTTTTACTATTATTCTGAAAATAAAACTTGCTGCTATGATTGTTCTGATTAGAAAATTGATATTATAATAATTTTTTTTAAATTTTAGAAATTTTCTTTCTGATTTTTTAGTTATTACATATATTTGTAAGAAATAACATTTCATTGCTAAGACTGGTCCTATTTCTTTAAAGGAAATTTTCTATAAAAAAACATTATTTTCTGAAAGTTTGGAGTAGATTTTTAATGATTTCAGAAAATCAGGATCTTTCATAAAAAGTCTGGGATAAACCTTGCTTAGTGTACGTAAATTTTGTTTCTTGTAAATAGTGTAAAGATATATTTCTTTAGTTTTATGCATTTTTTTTTTAGTGTAAAGAACACACTTTTAAAGGTCATGGTGACAGTGTTGATCAATTATGCTGGCATCCGTCCAACCCAGATTTGCTTGCTACGGCTAGTCTTGATAAAACTGTAAGAATATGGGACGCCAAATCTCAAAAATCGATTGCCACAATTCAGACTAAAGGTATACATTTTTGATGCTATATTGGTTGTTTGTTTTTGCTGTTGACTAACAAAATGCTTTTTACAATAAGAAAATTATACGTAATCTAAATTTGTTTTTTAAATTATCTGATTAACCTTTACCCAAAGCTTAAGCTGCCTATGCCCAAAGCTTAAAGAGACCCTTCCTATCCCGATCGAACTCAACTGTTGAAGGGATGGAGACGGAGTGGAAGAAAATCTAAACATGCTTTTATCCTTTGCATTTAATTTTCACTAACAAATTGATGATGAATATTTACACTTTTTGGCACCATCTTTCAATGCATGTAAAATATAAGGTTGTCACCCAAACAGAATTTCAGATGTAAAGTGTAGAGTATTATAGATTCTCTATCAATTTTTTCCTCAAAAAATTATGCCAATATAATTCTGCAATGAAAATTTTTTGAAAAATATTTAAATAGTTTGCAGTTTTTGGATTTTTGATAAGTATCTTTGTTTTTATGCAAATTACGTTGAAGGAAAATTTTAATGTCTTCCGAGTTGAATTTTATCAATTTAATTAGATTTTAAAAAATCTAAAAACTGAGGAACCTATTGTTTTAAATTATTTACTCAAGACCACTTATCGCTGCATTTTAGTGCTTTACAATTCTCAGGAAAAATTTATTGAAGTTTTAAAAATTATCAATTATTATTTCTCCTAATCTAATAACGTGTCTCTTTTATTTTCTACCTTTTTTGAGCTATGGAGCTGTCTAGTAATACTCTATCATCAAAAATTCCTTACATACAATATATATATATATTGCATCAATGGACATTGTTAACA